CATTTTATGTTTATTTTGAATTTTTTCGATAAAAGTCATTAAAAATTTTTAAAAAATTTTATTTAAATAATATAATTTCCAACAATTCTCATATAAAGCTTAGTACTATAAAATAAGTTAACAATAACAACTTTTCTAATATTTCTTTTAAAATAACCACTAGAAGGATGAATAAATACTTTTTGTTTGGTGTTTTGATGAATGTAACTTCCATCATTAGATTTAACACATAAATTATGTTTAAATGAATCACTAAAAACTTTCTCTAAAATTTCAATCGCATTTTCATCTGAAACAGAACAGTTCTTTCTTAATGATTTATAAATTTGTAAGGCCATACTCATCCCTTTGGATGGTAGATTATTATCTATTACATATTTCCTTTTATTACTAGAATTTTTATATTCTTCAAATATTCTCACTAAATACCTTATATCTAGTTCCTTACTATCAGAGTTTAAAAAATTAAAATTTTCCAAACTAATCATTGATAATAATATACTTCCATATTTAGTAATTTTATTTTCAATACACTTTTCATAAAAATTTGCTAAATGAACATCAAATGGGTGATAACTTAATCTTATACCATAGGATGTGAGTGTCAAATCATTATTGTTAATCTTTATACATTTAAATAATTCTAAAATATCTAAAGCACTCTGAATTTGAGACCTTCGAGGCAAATCAATAAAGTCTAAATTCATTAAATCAATTTTATGACTTAAAACTAAAAGTATCATGGTAGAAAGATCAGATCTAACCATTTCAGGAATGTTTTGCTCTAATTTTTGTGATTTGGTGTAAACTTTATAAACAACACCTGGACCCAATCTATTGCACCTACCTATTCTTTGTAATGCACTCTCATCAGAAATAGACTTAATTCCTAAATAAGAAATTCCGTTAAAAATTTTAACTTTATAAAGACCAGTATCAATTACATACTTAACCGATGGTATAGTTAAGGATGTTTCACAAATATTAGTAGATAAAATAACTTTTCTAATTTGAGTTGATTCAAAAATTTTAGATTGTTCTTCATCAGAAAGGACTGAATATATTTTATATGAAAGTATTGAGGGAATTTTAGAAACAAGCCTATATAATTCTTCAATATCATCTGAACCCGGTAGAAAAACTAAAATATCATTTCTATCTTCATCTAAAGGATAGTTTTTTATGATATTTTTAATAGTTAAATATGACTGATTAATATAATCAGGTGTTGGTACATCCAAATAATTAATTTCAATAGGAAATGTTTTCATTTTAATGTCTAATAAATGAGCATTAAAAAAGTTAGTTATTTTATCAACATCAACAGTTGCACTCATTAAAATTAATTTAAACTTTTTTTCTTTAATTTTGTTCTTAAGAATGCTTAATAAAACATCAGTTCTAACTGATCTTTCATGTATTTCATCAATAATGATTACATCATAATTAAGATCTAAATTTGCTAAGAATGCACCATCAGTATAAATGTTAGTAAAATATTCACTATTAGATGGTACTTTAATATTAAATCTCATCTTATATCCAACATTCAATTCATTACTCTTAACTAGGGTGTTATAAAGACTCATAACTGCTATTCTTCTTGGTTCAATAACAGCTACTTTTTTATCCTTGAAAAGAAGAGGAACATAAGTTGATTTACCACATCCAGTGGGTGCTCTTATCACTACAACGTTGTTATTCTTAACTAACTTAACAATAACATCTTTATACTTTTGTATCTTTAGTTTGTATTCATACATTGATGGGTTAAAAATTTTATTCAATCAACCAATATTCTAAGTCTTTCTTATGTAGAACACCTGCTCTAGTTAGCATATTCAACACTGTTAAAATGTCAAACATTGACTCGTTAGTTTCACTTTCAATTTCTTTTGCTGTAAGGGGGTGTGATTTACTAAAAAGTTTTACTATTTTAAGAGTGGTTGAATAATGCATTTCAAGGTGTGCATCCTTACATAATTGACTCATCATTTCATCTGTATATTCTTTCTTCATTTTGATTCTTTTTCTATTATCTTCATTTTCAATTTCATTAGTCTCAATTGATTCTTCTGTTGTAGTTACATTGTGCATCCCATAAGCATCAAAAGATTTCAACAAGCATTCCAGTCTATCATTGATAACTTCTAGAAAACAAATATCACTGTCTAACTTTTTTGAATTTGTCTTAATCTCACTTAATAATTTAAGTAACCTTTGATACTTTGATTCTGTTGATTCCATCTTTTATTTTAAATTAATTAGAAAAATTTAAAATCTAATTTATCAATTTTAAAAAATTTAACATTTTTTTATCTAAAAAAACTGTTATGAGAAAGTGATAATAAAAATCTGTATTTAACAGTTATTAAAAAATTATATAATTAATTTTAATAACTTTCAAATACAAAAATATTTGTTGGTTTTATAAAAAGTTATTTTTAATTAAAAACAAAAATTTTGATTAAAATAATTTCTGATTTTAATTTATTATTTTGTTAAAAAGTTTGTTTATTTTTTAATAAAAACTAAACTTTTATTTTATCACTAATTTTTTATTAATCACTAATTTTTATTAATCACTAATTTTTAGTTATAAAAATAGTTTATTAATAAAAATTGTTATAAAATAACAGGGTTTAATCTATTAATAAATTAAACAAATTTTTCTATCAAATAAATTTCCCTCCAAATTTTTTATTAATAAATTTTTTAAAAGAAAATTTCATTTATAAAATTTAAACCTAGAAATGACTAATGAAC